GAGACGAATAATAAGCTTGAGCCCACGCCCTTCACACTGTAACGCAACTCGTTCAAGAAAGAGTTTATCAAGTATGAACCCTCGTCTTTCAATGGGCATAGGGGATGCGCGGGTTAACATGTTTTGTTGCACAGTGGTAACAAAATAAGTACACCTTCTATCAAACATAAAGAGAAGTGTGCACCGAGTAACATCACTTATACAAATCGAATCTGTGTCTTGTTCAATGACAGCCATACAATGTTAAACACCAAAACGAGTAATGTCATTCATATCAAAACAGGTTGGCGTATGTATATATTTTAAACTGTTTGCCTTCTTACAAAATATTGATATTAAACTTTGGAGTCCATGTAATTGTCTTCAGACAGTAAACATGGATGTTATGCTAATCCTGGACCGAATATTCACCAGGCTGATTGACAGCTTTGTGTTGGTTTACCAGTCAGAGACTAACGCAACTGTCATCTCGTGTTCCCATGGAGCACACATGTCCGTTGTATGTCTGGTATCACATGGCCGCTTATGTCTGTGTAATCGCCAGATAGTATCATCCCTCACGCATTGTGTACCAGTACCGACTGCACACAATACTAGACTGCATCTACTGTTATGTGAGATGACATAAGGGAGGCCCTTCTAAACCGGAGGCTATACTCTCCTGAGAAACCATCCCGATTAACAAGTTGACGGATTAATGAATCGAATCGGAATGTTGCGGTATTGGCGTTGCCAACAGTGTTGAGAGATTGGCCAGATGAACGTATTTTAACTGAATATGGATTAATGAATCATATGGTGTTTTGTTCTAAAAATGGCTTTAGAACAAGTTTGGATAATAACTATATTGTCTATGTAAGCTTCAAACGCTAATTCATCTTTCAAGACGAACGAGGGTTCATTCTAAACTACTTCTCCTTACCTGCACCCATTAGCAATGTATCAATTAAGACCTTATAAATAAATTTAAATAAATTAATTTTAAATAAAGTTATTCCGGGGCATTTGATTGGCTACGCTGATTAAAACAGCATGCACACCAGGTTCACGTTTATGCCTCCATAAACGCAAAACATTGACGTAAATCTTTAATGGTTTAAAAAAAATAATTTTTTGTATGCTCCCCTTGTATTTCTGAATGTACACAAAGTATGAACACTAGGTTCATACTAGAACATGACCATGTGGCCCTTCAACTTATTGTCAACTAAAAGTCTTTGCAGCGCTTCAGGGAGAGCCGTTAAGTATTTTCATGTACGATGATCTGATACAGACACTCCGCTTTGCTCGAAGTACGGATGACTCGATCTACAATAGCTGCTCCCTAGGAGGGAACGAGGCTTCCTCAGTTGCCCTTTTGACCTCAACGCAAAGAGTTAGCAAAGCCATTATTGACACGTTATTCACGTCCAGCAGGACGAGACGTCCAGTGTACTGCTGCCTGTCTGATGGATCCTTGACACCTGGTCAACCCGGTCTAGTGTGTTTGTCCCGCTGTGCAATGAGTCACAACATGTTCCCTCATATATATGTAAGCCGCTTTTGCCTCGACTCATTGTGTGTGTTTCAATAGCTCAGTCAACGTCATGGGAAATGTCTAGCGTCGCAGGGACTCATGCATAAATATAGACAGTAAACTACGGTCGTAACGTACACGCATATAACGAACTGACTGATATAACGAACTTATTTTTCAGTCCCGACCATTCGTTGTATTGATGTCGTATATATGCCTATAACGAACTACGGTTATTACGAGCTAAAATTAGTGGCCCCTTCGAGTTCGTTATAACCATGGTTTACTGTATTCTGAATACAGGAATATATGCTCCAGTGTCAGCCTTTTGGGGCGTTGCTCAAGTGCCAGCTTTTGGGGGCATTTGTGTTTGCGTAATATCTATCCTATGCATGCACAATATCAATTGGGCGACATAAGATTATGTATGACGCACTTAATTCAACACTGGAGGTTTGGTTTGTTGTGAATCACATACACAGTCTATCTTTGTGGTCTGCCTAGTTTCTGTTCAAAAGGTTAACTCAGTTACCTAACACTGATACGAAGTTCTTTCACGGTGTGCAGTCAGTGCGACGAATCTGGCTGTATAGGTGTCGTATCAGATGGGATGCGGTTGTAACGACAGGAGTTCACTGTGACCACAGTTGTGCTTTTAACATATACCGATGTTATTGATACTAGCGATGAAGGTTCCTTTGATGAAGCTGGGCAAGTCGTCTTCAAGTTGCGTCTCCAATGCTTGCTAGAAACCAACGATTGCTGATTCGAATCGCAGGTGCGCCTTAATGATGATGGTTGGTTTTTAGGCCCCTACTCGTGAGCCTCACTGATGTCATTAACGTATAAAACTTGCATCGTTATGGGCTTTACGCCACATTACGCCGAGACGTCGTGACGGAACTAGATATGGCGGGAGTTGGAATATGTTTACTATTGTCTGAAGATCGAAGACGCTCTTTGAGGTGGTCTAACGGGTGACATACCAGAATAAATCTGCGAACGTAGCCCAAGTGTTACGAGACATACCACAATAAAGCTGCGTACGAAGGCCAAGTGTTACGAGACATACCTCAATAATGTTGCGTACGTAGGCCAAGTGTTACGAGTCATACCACGATATATCTGCGTACGTAGGCCAAGTGCTACGAGTCATACCACAATAAATCTGCGTACGTAGGCCAAATGTTACGAGACATACCACGATATATCTGCATACGTAGGCCAAGTGCTACGAGTCATACCACAATAAAACTGCGTACTTAGGCCAAGTGTTACGAGACATACCACGATAAATCTGCGTACGTAGGCCAAGTGTTATGCGACATACCACAACAAAGGCTGCGTGGACCAAGTGCTGCGAGATGTACCACAACAGAGACTGTGTCGGCCAAGTGTTACGAGACGTACCACAACAGAGGCTGGGTAGGCCCTACGTTACGAGACGTATCCTGCTTTAAAGCCTGCGTAGGCCAAGTATCACAACAAGGGCTGCGTGTTACGAGACGTATCACAACAAGGGTTACGTGGGACAAGTGTTACGAGACGTATCACAACAGAGGATGAGTAGGCCAAGTGTTACGTGGCGTACCACAACAAAGGCTACGTAGGCCAAGCGTTACGAGACGTATCACAACAAGGGCTACGTAGGCCAAGCGTTACGAGACGTATCACAACAAGGGTTACGTGGGACAAGTGTTACGAGACGTATCACAACAAGGGTTACGTGGGACAAGTGTTACGAGACGTATCACAACAAGGGTTACGTGGGCCAAGTGTTACGAGACGTATCACAACAGAGGATGAGTAGGCCAAGTGTTACGTGGCGTACCACAACAAAGGCTACGTAGGCCAAGCGTTACGAGACGTATCACAACAAGGGTTACGTGGGCCAAGCGTTACGATATGTACTCCAGCAAAGGCTGCGTAGGCCTGGTGGTGTCATTTTCTCCGAAGTACTGCGAGACCTTAGATTGAAAGGCCACAAGGGACAGTGCTGCGGGCATATTGCCACGCTTCCGTGTTCTGTACTCTGCATTTTTTAGGCTTCGAGTATACACGGTATGTAGCATTGCGGAAATATCGTAGAGACGTCAACACGGATCTTTCGCCCTAGGTCTTGTGTAAGAGCAGTAAAGGTTAGAGGCCCGACAGGATTGTACATAAATACTCACTGCCTTGGGCTGATCACAAGCCATTGTGCAACGCAACATTTTATATCCGCAGTCTCAGAAGCCAAGTTGGAGGGAAGTTGAGGAGGAGGTGGTATAAGTGCCATTACACAATATTTAACAGTAGTTCAGCGAAATGAACTCTTGGTGACTTCTATACTAGGATAACGTGCAAGAAACATTTCTCTTCATACTGCTGTACACACACCTACACACGCAACTCGTATGACCTCGAACAGGACTCCACCAAGACGTTCTCTGATCCAAACGTTGACATTTACCTTAACGCTCGTCCCGAACTCAAACCTAACCCCCACCTTGCTTCTACCACAACATCCACCCCAATGTCGAACCCGACGCCCCTCCTTCCCAAACTTCAACATCCACTCCTACTTTAACAACCACTCCTACTTCAACATCCTCCCATACTTAAACATCCTCCCCTACTTTAACATCCACTCCTACTTTAACATCCACCCCTACTCTAACATCCACCCCTACTTTAACATCACCCCTACTTCAACATCCACCCCTACCTTAACATCCACCCCTACTCTAACATCCACCCCTACTTTAACATCATCCCTACTTCAACATCCACCCCTACCTTAACATCCACCCCTACTTTAACATCACCCCTACTTCAACATCCACCCCTACCTTAACATCCCCCCCTACTTTAACATCCCCCCCTACTTTAACATCCTCCCATACTTAAACATCCACCCCTACTTCAACATCCACCCCTACCTTAACATCCACCCCTACTTTAACATCTTCCCTACTTTAACATCCACTCCTACTTTAACGTCATCCCTACTTTAACATCCACCCCTACTTTAACATCATCCCTACTTTAACATCAACCCCTACTTTAACATCCTCCCCTACTTTAACATCCTCCCCTACTTTAACATCCACCCCAACTTTAACAGTTCACAAACTGACGCCAGAGTATTTAGTAACATACTGTCTCAACCATGGCGCGTGAATCGTGACGAAATAGCAATAGAAGCAGAGACGGAGTTCCCTTGTTGAATGCAGGGCCTGGGAGTACCTGTTGTCAAAGGGTAGGGGTGAGGGTGGGGGACTCGAACCACGTTCCCCCTACACACCATACTCATGTAGTTACATATGTTTGGCTAGTACATTACTGTTCTAATTAACTAAAGTATCGTTTCATGCTCCCTCTTCCGAGACAGAATAATGTTCCTGAATAAAGATGTACACATTTTGGTTCCTACAATATCAATGTACAAAAATTGCAACTTGTCTGCAAACGTTAATTCCCAAATTGTATTTATCTCCTTCAGGTGCCTTCCTCATTCCATACTTTCTATGTGTCATCTTCGGGGGAATCCCGCTCTTCTACCTGGAGGTCGCCCTCGGCCAGTTCATGGGGGTCGGAGGCCTGAAGGCATGGAACTTGGTACCTCTGCTGCAAGGTAAGGGGTGATCACATGTGTATCTGTCTCATGTTCACCGGGGATACGGTTGGCCCAGTTGCCTAATGTGCTGCTATTCTCTGTATGGAGTTGCTCCCCTTAGGCATTCCAGAATCCACTGAGCGTTGGTTCGAATCCCACATACTAGATTATGATCCTTTGATTTCATCACCATACCCATGCTCGTGGGTTTCACCAAAGTGGTAAACATTAAGTTGTTGTAACCTTTCGGGCGTTCCTCTCACGTGAAACTGACACGCCTTGATATAACTGAAAATGTGTTCAAGCAACGTTAAACCAACTTGCTCTCTCACTCAAACTTTAAGGAATGTTCTTGAAACGTAGGGGCGGTAGGGTAGCCTAGTGGTTAAGGCATTCGCTCGACACGCCGTAAATCCGGGTTCGAAAATGTGTGAAGCCTATTTCTGGTGTCCCCCGCCGTGATATTGCTGGAATATTGCTAAAAGCGGCGTAAAACCATACTCACTCACTCTTGAAACGTTAAATGGTTAGTAGGGGTAGCGAACTGGGTTTATTACATTTGAACGTTTTCTACTAGGCTTTACGTTTGCTATTATTGACAATAAGTAACAGTTTAAAGTTTCAGATCGTTTACAAGTAATAACTTTGGAATCATTTCTGTGTACACATTGTGGGGATTCGGGGACAGAATAGATCCCCAGCGACTATGCTTGTCTTAAAAGATGATTGATGGGCATTGATGGCCAGGCTCGGTGACATGGACGATTGTTTAGCACCGTACCCGACGACGTCGGACGTTGCTTACGTTATCAAAGTATTGGCTTGTCTGGTCAATACTCGTTTATGTTCAGTTCGCCGACATGTAGCTGGTATATTGCGAAATGTTGCATTTAACAACAACAACAAAAACCACAATGTGTGTCAGTGCGTTACGCCCAAAAGTAATGTTTGCATATTACTGCACTCTTATTAACTTACTTTAATTAGCAGTTAAAGTTTTGGTTAGGTTTGTTTTTTTCGCCGCACTGAGCAATATTCCAGCTATATGACGGCTGTCTGTAAATAATCGAGTCTAGACCAGACAATCCAGTGATTTACATCATGAACATAGATCCACGCAATTGGGATATGATGACATGCATCAACCAAGTCAGCGAGCCCGACCACCCGATCCCGTTAGTCGCCTTTTACAGCAAGCATAGTCGCCTTTTGGGTTGCTGAAGACCTATTCCACCCCGGATCTTCACGGGTAAGCAGTTAAAGTAATTACCTTGTAAGAATCAAGAAATACGTTGTGAGATTATCCAGGGTTGTACATCTTCGTCCTATTATGATAAATACCATGGAACCATTCAACACCAAAGCGTCTTTTCGCAAGTGCTGTGGCCTTCTCCGTACGCCTTGACTCCTCACGCGCCCTGAGACTGTTTCCTTGTATGTGTACAGGTATTGGTATGGCCACCGTCATCATCGTCTTCCTCCTCAACTGCTACTACAACGTGATTCTGTGCTGGGCCTTCTACTACATGTTCTCCTCATTCACAACCGAGTTGCCATGGGCAACCTGCAACCACGACTGGAACACCGAGAACTGCTCCGAGAACTTCGTGACAGCAGCTAACATCGTCAACGGCACCAACTCCTCCGACCCTGGAAACATCATTACCAACCTCACTGACCCCAACATCACACAGTCCTTCGTGGACCCCGTCACCGAGTACTGGGAGTAAGTAGACGTAGGAGTAGAAATGACATTCATTCCGCGGGGGTTTCATATTGATATACTTGACATACATTCCGCGGGTAGTTCACAATGATATACATGACACACATTCCGCCGGGGTTGATTTTGATGTAACTGACACACAGTCCACGGAGTGGGGTGGGGGGTGGGGTATATTGATATAACTGACACACTCTGCGCAAGTGGAATATATTACGGTCACTAAAACACAACCAGCAGGTGGTTAATACTGACACGTCAGACACACACTGAAACAGGGGGTTATATTGATTCAACTGAAACAGGTGGTTTATGTTGATTCAACTGAAACAGGTGGTTTATGTTGATACAACTGAAACAGGGGGTTATATTGATTCAACTGAAACAGGGGGTTATATTGATTCAACTAAAACAGGTGGTATTATTGATTCAACTGAAACAGGTGGTTATATTGATTCAACTGAAACAGGTGGTTATATTGATTCAACTGAAACAGGGGGTTATATTGATTCAACTGAAACAGGGGGTTATATTGATTCAACTGAAACAGGGGGTTATATTGATTCAACTGAAACAGGGGGTTATATTGATTCAACTGAAACAGGTGGTTTATGTTGATACAACTGAAACAGGGGGTTATATTGATTCAACTGAAACAGGGGGTTATATTGATTCAACTAAAACAGGTGGTATTATTGATTCAACTGAAACAGGGGGTTATATTGATTCAACTGAAACAGGGGGTTATATTGATTCAACTGAAACAGGGGGTTATATTGATTCAACTGAAACAGGGGGTTATATTGATTCAACTGAAACAGGGGGTTATATTGATTCAACTGAAACAGGGGGTTATATTGATTCAACTGAAACAGGTGGTTTATATTGATACAACTGAAACAGGGGGTTATATTGATTCAACTGAAACAGGGGGTTATATTGATTCAACTGAAACAGGGGGTTATATTGATTCAACTGAAACAGGGGGTTATATTGACTCAACTGAAACAGGGGGTTATATTGATTCAACTGAAACAGGGGGTTATATTGATTCAACTGAAACATGGGGTTATATTGATACAACTGAAACAGGGGGTTATATTGATTCAACTGAAACAGGGGGTTATATTGATTCAACTGAAACAGGTGGTTAATATTGATACAACTGAAACAAGGGTTATATTGATTCAACTGAAACAGGTGGTTTATACTGATATAAATGACACACACTATGCAGATGCAAGCAAAATGGGGGCACGGGTGGCCCAGTCGTCTAAAGCGCCGCGATTCGCTGTTCAGAGATGCGTCCCTTGGGCACGTCAGAAACCTATGATTGTGGGTTCGAATCCCGGTTCGCCACAATTATGTTTCTAAGTTTGTCAGCACCATACCCGTGCTCGTGGGTTTCACCGAAGTTGTAAACGTCTGAGACCTGCATCACTTCGGGCTTTCCTCCCACATTAGGCTGACATAACTGGAATACTGTTAAAAGCGGCGTTAAACCCAACTCACTCACTCACTCACTCGCAAGCAAAATAGTGATGAAAATTATATGAATTGCTCGATGAAAATCAGTAATGACACCAGGTGTTCGCGAAAAGGGTAAGAGTATCCTGTCTTGGCTTCCAAGAACACTAACGCCATGATTGGATTATTCTCTCTCGTCAAAACTGCGTTTGTGTCTTGCAGGCATAAGGTTCTGGGAATCTCCAGCGGCATTGACGACATGGGCTCCATCAAGTGGGATCTGTGCCTCTGCCTCATCTTCGCCTGGATTGTCGTCTACGCCTGCATCTGCAAAGGCATCAAGTCATCCGGCAAGGTATGTGGACCCCTCACCCCGACTGATAGTATTTAATATGTCAAAGACAAGCGTGAATGTGATCATGTACTATGAATTCAATGTTATATTAACCAGATTTCATACTCCGAAACTACATCATACCATGGATTTGTTTGGAAACAAACAGTTAACCCCGAGCTCAGCAATATTCCAGCTATTTGACGGCGGTCTGTAAATAATCGAGTCTGGACCAGACAAACCAGTGATTTACATCACGAGCATCGATCCGAGCAAATGGGGATCGATGACATGTATCAACCAAGTCAACGAGCCTGACCACCCGATCCCGTTTGTCGCCTTTTACGACAAGCATAGTCGCCTTTTACGGTTGGGTTGCTGAAGACCTATTCTACCCCGGAATCTTCAGGGGTCATATGTGTATGTACAGTCATGTACTTTATTATATAGCAAACACGTGTACGCATTATTTTTGCAACAATGAAGTTCAGTTCATATACTCAAAACAGCGACGACCTTTATTTTTTCCGTCAACTAAATTGCATTAAATCGTGAATATAACCGTTACTAATCCCGGGTGTTCATGCATGTTTCATAGTATACCCTATACCTGTGTATTTGTCATCATTCACTTGATGCTCAGTTAACATATAACTTTGGTTGTAATAACGATAATTGCATTTTGATTACATTCATTTGCTGTACCATTGAACAGAATCACTCTTGTTCCACTTATTAATGAAAAAAGACAAAAAAATATTAGGAAGTTCAAAAGGATTTAAAAACATCACATTACACCAATTATGTTGGGATTAGAAGCCCAAACTATAGACATGTACATTGACTTTCGCTTTCATTTAATCCTATCATTTTCAATCACTGGGTATTGAAACTAAACATCAAAAGGCTTAGAATTCGTTATCTAAATGGACAGATTTTTCAGTCATGTCATTTTTTTAATAAATTGCCTTTGTGATTTTTTTGGTCATTTTACACATTGACTGTAACATTTTCACACGATACAATAAGCAATAAGCAATAAGAAATATTCATTAGTGTTACAAGTCAAAATAGGGTAAACGAAAACCGCACAAGTCCAAGCAAGTGACTTACCAAAACATCGTCACAATTAAAGATGCTCCCCCAAAAGATACCTACATTTCCGTGTTATTTCCAAGACAAAAGTGTATTTCATTTTGTTGATCAATACGCTCTTTTCTATCAATAAAAGCGGTTGGCGCAGCACAGATCGCAAACTCGTCGATATTTCTGAGATATCATCCGGGTATCCACAGGGAAAAATCAATTACAAAGTCCCGGTGAATTGTCAGAGATCAATGGCCCTTTAAATGCATGCCATCGTATCTCATGCGTAGATCTGATGCTTCTGATCGATGCTACTGGATTGTCTGGTCCAGAGTCGATTATATACCGACAGCGGTCATGTAGCTGGAATAGTGCCGAGTGCGGGGTTAAACAACCAACAAAAGTCCACGTAACATCGACGTGTGGGCTCGTGTGGAGCTGTGAAACAGTTCTTAAAGAGGCACGAGGCGAGAGTATATTGTCCGTCCCTTGGTAAGGTTGAAGTCAGTCGTTCAACCATCACTGTAGTGTCTCGCAGTTAATGGTGAGAATGTTTTAACAGCTCTAGATTTCCACCTAACCCTGGCCACACAAGGTCTCTAGAATTATTAAATTGACGTGATTTACAGTAAGAAGCATTAGCCATGATGCCCAACAATGGGATATGACTAGTGACCGTTATGCATGAAGGTCAAGTTTGTTCAGCAGGGGCATTAACGCAATTTTCATAGGACTCCACCAGATGGAGGTCTTCGTGAACTTTTATGAGGGTGGCGAAACTCGCCAGACTGGTTGTTGCTCTTCACCGGCTGAATGCACACACCCACACATTGTCATTCAGCTATATAGGTCCTGTTGTGTTGGACGTTATGAATACTATCCATCGAAATAGCCTTACTGTTCCAAAAACCCGTGAAGATTCGGGTAAGGATTGGTCTTCAGCAACCCGTGCCTGTCGGGATTTTGTGGCCATGCTTAGTGACTTGGTTGATGCATGCCATCGTAACCAAATTGCGTAGATCGCTGCTCATGGTGTCTATCAATTGATTGTCTGGTCGAAACGGTCATCATACAGATGGGATATTGCTGGGTGCGCAATTAAACAACAAACCTAAAGCCCAAACTGTAGCCAAATAATTGTATATATATGTATATATGTACAGTAAACTACGGTTATAACGAACACGCTTATAACGAGCTGACGGATATAACAAACTTTATTTTTTAGTCCCGACTATTTGCTGTGGTTATGCTGGATATATGCTTATAACGAACTACGGTTATAACGAACTAAAAATAGTAGTCCCTTTGAGTTCGTTATAACCGTAGTTTACTTTATACTATATATATACTATATGTTTACTATATTACATTAAGAGGACAAATGGAAGATCATAAAAAAAACAATACACAATCAAACAACTCCTGAGGACTTCTTGTCTGACTCATCTGATGATATATTTTTCTTTGATGCACCGTCACCAATCGTCTTAGTGTTACGGGTGTGTCCCCTTAGTCACGGTTCGACTGAACGTGTCATTAACGATTGATGGGCAAGTCCATAGAATGTTCTATAACCATTAATAATAAGTTAAATGAGGCTTGGTTCATATCTTGATGCATATCAGAGCACCTCTTCTGGGTATAATGAAAGATTTCATATCTGTCTGTTACATAGTCCCAGTTAACCGGATTATATTAAGATTGAATGAGTAAGTGAATGGTGTTTCACGACACAGTCAGCAACACTACAGCAGCATCACGGCCACTGTATAATCGATATGGCTGTTATGAAGAAGAAGAAGAAGAAAGGAAGAAGAAGACAATTAAGAAGAAAGGAAGAAGATTAAGAAGAAAGGAAGAGGAAGAAGAAGAAAGGAAGAAGTGGAAGCATAATAAGAAGGAAGAAGAAAGGCAGAAGAAAGGAAAGAATGGAGAAGAAGAAAGAAAGAAAACAAAGAAGAAAGGAAGAAGACGAAGAAAGGAAAAAGAATAATAAGAAATGAAGAAGGTAGGAAGAAGAGGAAGAATAAGAAGAAGAAAGGAAGAGAAGAAGTAGAAAAGGAAGAAGAACGACGGAAAAAGTGGAAAAATTATAAGAAAAGAAGAAAGGAAGAAAAAGAAAAATAGTTTATTAAGATGTCACGTGTCTGTTAATACATCAGAGTTACATTGATATGATGGTTTATATAAAATTACATGCACCCGGCCAATTCGCCTATAAGACATCAAAAGTCATTTGAAAACATTACTAAAATTGAAAGTTAAAACCATTTGTTAACATGGATGTTACCGAGATAAAAGGTATGCATGCATGTATTACATACAATACAGCGAGTTCGTCTTTTCTCTCATTCCGCTTGAGAAAGCGGGATATATGTGTTTGAATGAGAATTGTCTCCCTTTTAAGAAGGCCTATGCACAACAATACTCCAACTATGCGATGGAGCCTGTAAATAATCAAGTTTTGACCAGACAATCCAGTGATTGGTATTATCAGCAACGACCCATGACGTAATCGACCGAGCCTGGCCATCCGATCCATTAAGTCGCTTCTTACAACCAGCATAGATTGCTGGATGCCAAGTCAGACCCGTAATCCCTACAGGTTCCCTAATTAGTCAACTCTTACTGACGATGAAACCCTGGGGACACATTCAGCAGACAGAAAAGTGATATGTATGGGTGTTTAAAATTTGCTTGGCCTGTCATATAGCCCGAGCATTGTCCCCCTTTAACGGTGAGTTGAGGTAAAATGGGGCTTCACGTCGTGGTCACAATTATTGCACTTTTGCGCGTGTTTGCATAGTGACTCTGAGCCGACCAGCCCTGGTTGTATACCCTGAATACGTATCCCCTTTAACGTTGTATATGTATATATATCACATATGTATGATGCGGCACCCTGCCAATGAACTCCCTGTCTCCCTCCCCAGGTGATGTATGTGACCGCCACCTCCCCCTACATCTTCATGTTGTGTCTGCTGATCAGGAACGCCCTCCTCGATGGCGCATACGACGGTGTCATTTTTTACCTGAGACCAAATATCTCCAAGCTAGCCGACATACAGGTACGTTTACCCTTCCTCTTTGTTCCACAGATAACATGGACTATAAGTCATCCTCAATCGTTTTTTGTCAGACTTTTCTCGCGTCTGAAATTTAGTTATGAGCAGGATTGGCATAGTCTTCTTGAAAAGGGTTTTAAATCTTTCTCTTGTTCTGTATTCAAGGTATCGTTAGGTACAGAGTTGTATTTTAGCTATGTGGCCGTTAATAAATTGAGAGTGGCGCTTGATCAGTTTAGATGTTCTGCGCATCAGCTATGTGTTGAAACAGGGAGATACGCTAATATCTGACGTAACAGGCACTGCTATCCCACGTAACAGAAGATTATGTTGTGTTTGAAATATATGCTGGATATGTGGAGGACGAGTATCATTTTCTGTTAGTTTGCCCCGTTATAACAAGTTACGGGTGGATCACTTACCAACGAAATATTGTGCATATCCGATCAAACAAACATTTAATATCATTATGTGATTGTATTTAATATCACAACTGACTGTAAATTAATTATACGTCCAGCAATCTTTATCTATCAAGTGATGTCACTTCGTGGAATATTATTGTCAGAACAATAACATCTGAGTATATTCAATTCTTTATTCATGTACATGTGTAGGCCAGCGGCCCATGGTACAATATTTGGTCCACCATTAACATTTACAGTCTTAGTGTTTGGAGTCGAACATTCATAGCATGGTATATAAAAGTTGCAACATTTCTAATATTATAACAGTTTCATTGTTTACCGCCATAAGCATATTGAATTTAGCAAGAGTAGGATGTACAAAATACTTCTGTGGTAAATACTGAAGACGAAGTTCATCATAAGCGTTACAAATTAATAAAAAATGATATTCATTCTCGACATATCTTTGGTTGTAACTATTGCACAATCTCTGCTCTCGTGGAGTATTAACGTATCTACCAGTCTCAATGTGGAAAGTGTGGGAGCTACAGCGAAACTGGGCTAGTGCAACACGAAATTAGTTGATAGTGATAGCAGACAAATACAACTCTAGACTAAATGAATTTTTGAAAAGTGTATTATGGAACATTTTAGAACTATTTGCTAAAGACCAATGCCAATCCTGTTCGTAAGCAAATTTTAACCGATCTTCACATTCGGAAAAAAATGATTCGGGGCAAATAGCATATTGGTTCTCCCATATTTATCCAAATCTAAGGCTTTATAAAAGAGTTTTGACTTTTGTAGCCCAATTAGTTTTACCATGTGTGGCTAGCTGAAATAACATATCATAACTTTTCTTAGGATATCGTGAATTTTAGAGGGACATAAGTTTACACCAATATTTTATACAGCGTTTATACGCAGAAATGTACAGTGGGTATCTGAGTACATCACGTCCATTGTAATACAAATAAGACCATGGGCTGCGGCCTACACTTAGGAATTGAATAAATTGAATTGATCTGATTGGTATACCGAAGTGAAAATCCTGGTTAAGCCGTTTATAGTCATACATTTATAAAAAAAGTTAAATAATATTTCGCATGTTGCTTTCGTCTCGGTATATGCTTTTTGTATTTTCATTTGTGACGTGACGATCCCGTGCATAAATGATAGTTATGGGTAGTATGTACTTACGTCTATTCCAGGTGTGGGTGGATGCTGGGACGCAGATCTTCTTCTCTTATTCCATCTCTCTAGGTGCTCTGACAGCTCTCGGATCTTACAACAAGTTTCATCATAATTCCTACAGGTAATAAATAATAATAATAATAATAATAATAATAATAATAATAATAATTCCGCTTGTAAACTCTATACGAAATGTATGCTCAAAGCGCTGCATATTAGTAGTAATGGCAGCATGGTAGTCCACGACAGACCATTTCAGTATTTCCAGATAACAGAGACTTATATATTACAGTGAAAAAAAAAAGTTTTCCTGTCTACACTCTTCTAAATAACATTGAAACCTTCGACGTCAGTATATTAGGGTTTTTAAAAAAACAAAAATACAGACCGAAAAAGTGTGGAAAGTCAAACGGTGCTGTCGTTCTATTTAAGACTGTTTTGATAAAATATAAAAAGTTCGCAGGGCTCGTCCGGGATTCGAACCCGGGACCTCTCGCACCCAAAGCGAGAATCATACCCCTAGACCAACGAGCCTCGCATGGATGTCATATCCATGTTAAGGGTCCACTTCGATAAGAAAGGCGGTAAAGTGCCAACCAAATGTCGCCGACAATGATCACAGTCAATCGTGTAATTTTAACAAAACACAGTGTTTGCTAACATATGAAATAGCATTACACTTGTAACCCCGCACCGCCCTACCTCATGGGTGAGCAAACACGATGGCTTTCCCGCTGTGCCGCAGCGTGAATATAACATACAGTTGTCTTAGCTTGTGTGAAGCATTGCAAGACAGTGTCGCTATATATTTCTGAAACACGAGTTGTCTACCTTTGAATCATGTGCTGTATGAAGCCGTGCATTATACAGGCTATAACATCTCTTCACTGCAATCGACAAAAATAAACGTTGTTTTTGTTAACTTTGGTTTACAAATACGTATGAAAAGCAACGTTTTTTTCTATTCCGACGACCAGATATAAGTAAAATGTCAATATAAGTAAGTTAATTAAAATACTATAAATTATAACCTGTTGAAATTCTATCTTTTTTAATAAACAAAATCGAGCCTACGAAACAGTTTGATGAGGTAAAACATCATTTGCTCTGGAATTAAACTGGAATTGTTCGGACTTCGACTTACCAACCTGAACATTTGGGCCAAAAATCCGTTAACCTTACAAGCTATATCATCCGATTATGTCCAAGACCCGGGAAGATCAGGGTTAGAACAGGCAAGATGCGATTAACGGATCAGGTAGTCAGGCTCGCTGACTTGGTTTATGCATGTCATCATTTCCCAATTGCGTAGGTCGATGCTCATGCTGTCAATCACTGGACTGTCTGGTCCAGACACGAGACCACCGTCATATAGCTGGAATACTGCTGAGTGTGGCGCGAAATAACAAACAAACAAAGTTGTAGCAAAATAAATCACAAAATTAAGAATTCAGATACTTAAAACAACAATATGCAGTCATACATCTCCCGAGGACCTTTAGTCAGGGGCTTGTTTGACCCGGGCTCGAATATTTACAGGCCGGCGTCATATAGCGATATGAAAATTAAAATGTTATTTAATGCCACGTGAAACAACATTAAGTCATTCATTCACTCACACTTAAACCAACAGTGGTTAAAGTTACACGTTTGTCGAGTGTGTTTAGGCTTGTAAAGATGTATGCACAAGTGCCCTTCTTTGGAGAGCAGAGAGATATCGTATCGGAGTGAAAGATCTGACAATATCAGGGACAATATGCCGACAGACGCATATTGGGTGTATGCATGATCACTACTCTTACGTACTTGCATTGGAGATTTTACGTGCGCTTTCCGACTGAGCGCGTATTTCGCACACGGGCCGCAAGTTCGAAAAGGGAATGAAAAGGGTGGGCGCAACCCGGAATGGGGCTTTTGAGGGTTGCTTATGTTCTAATTTTGAGATTTGGAGATTTGGAATGGATGCCAAGGTGGGGGGGGAACTACGGGAGCCGTGTGGGGTGTATGGTTGTTTGTTTATGTAGTTTTTGGTGCATTAGTGAGTTGGATGGTTTTTAGATGCGGTTTAATAGATCCGTTTTAATTAGGTATACGCCTAGGGCTTTGAAATGCATTGAGTTATTTAATGGGTTTAGAATTGTATCTAGAGTTAGTCCTTGCTGCAGGTTTAGTGTGGTTTAGAGTTGTTCTATGTGTCTGGTAGTGAGTGCAGTGTATAAGAGCGTGTTCTGAGGTTTCTTGTTGGGTGCAGTGTGGGCAGGTTCCTGTTGGGTGTCGTTTAATTTTTTTAAGGTGGTTATTTAGTTTTGTGTGGCCTGTCTGGAGCTTTGTTATGACGCTGATTATATTTTTGGAGGGGTGTAGAACTTTTGGTTTGGTTAAGTTTTTTTAAAAAATATTTTCCTATATTAACAGTCTGAGTTTTGGAAGTTTGTTTGCCATTTTTTTAATAGATTTTTTGTTTGGTGATCACTACTCGAAGTCTCCACGCCTTAAGTACTCGGGGACACGGGTGGCCCAGTCGTCATAGGCATCACCATTCGCTGTGCAGAGTTGCGTCCCTTGGGAACATGAGAAACCTATGATTGTGGGTTCGAATCCCGGTTCGCCCCGATTATGTTTCTAGGTTTGTCAGCACCATACCCGTGCTCGTGGGTTTCGCCGAAGTGGTAAACGTCTAAGACCTGCATCACCGGATTTCCTCCCACATTAAGCTGACACGCCGCGATATAACTGGAATGCTGTTAAAAGCGGCGTTAAACCCACCTCACTCCCTCATTTAAGTACTGATGAAGCGGCGCTAACTCCAACTCACTCACTACTCCGTGTTTCAGGGACGCTGTCCTGTTCGCACTAACCAACAGCGGTACCAGCTTCTTCGCTGGCTTCATCGTGTTCACCATCCTGGGCTACATGGCGAAGACCCAGGGCCGATCCATAGAGGATGTAGCCGAATCAGGTAAGCAGACGACAAGCGAGATCTTGTTTTCTATTCAAATGAATTTCTATTCAGTGATTCGGATCTGAGGATATAAACTAAGCGGCAAAAGAAAGTATGGGTTGGCAATTTGTAATTTTCCTAAAAACAGCGATAACTAGTGGAAATTGGGTATTGGGAATATGACTGCCCAGGAACAGGTACCAAAAAACACCTCATTCGAACGCGCCACCTTTGACGGCGCTCGTGCGGTGACAATAAAATGGTGAAACAGGTTTCCCGCCTATGGCATAAACTGCACGTGCATGTAAGCTGTATAAATGCGTTCGTCTCCAGGGTATAACCACACGTGATGAAAGCACACAAAAGAAATGCCACGTCTGTTTCCAAGCCTTTACAGTGTATCAATATTTAAGCACAACTGTACACAATTGTTTGATAGGCATTTCTTAGAAGTTGACAGATGACAAAGCAGTTGAAATAAAATATTATTGACAACAACTTTTTATACTGTAATAGCGTCGTTTCCATGGGCTGTCATTCAGTCAAAAAATACAAAGTTGAAAAAAACTACAAAAGTACGTAATTATAATCAAATGTAACTAAAAAAGAATGAATGTTACAAATAAAGGTCATTATTTACATACAAATAATGAATTCAAAATACAAAACGATACCAATAAACAATTCGCGAACAAAATACGTCATATATAAAGCCAAAACAATATGTGCTGAAGAATGTCTGTGCACACGAATCTGCCAAAGGACAACGTTGACAATAAATAACGCCAGATGGCGCTGCAATTTTTAAAACATCCATAGTTTAATCGGCATGTTCCACCGTGTAAATGATAAATGCATGCTGAAGTGCTGTGTGTGTATTCTATCTATACATGTTGCGTTAACTGTCACCGAAAAAGCAGCACGTTTTGAAAAATAGTACACTCTATATATGTAATCCTGTCGAGATGTTTTACAAATTGCAGCGCCATCTGGCGTTCTTTACTGTCAACGTTGTCCTTTAGCACTTTATTCTTTCGTGCACACTTTTCTTTCTTTACATATGACGTCTTTTGTTTGCGAATTGTTCATTGGTATCGTTTTGTGTTTATATTCAATATTTGTATTATACAATGAGCTTTATTTGTAACATTCATTCTATATTCGTAACATTTGAATATGTATGCGTACTTTTATCCCCTTTTTCAACTTTGTACGTTTTCACCGAATGGCCGCCCATACGTTTCGGTATAGGTCCCGACACCGTTATCAAGAAAGACTCGATATTACAGTATAATGCATACGTTTCGTCGCTACTACAGTGTCATAAAGAGTTTAAAGATCCGTACACCGTTGTCAAGTAAATCGTGCGTAACAACGGTATAACTATATACATGTATACCGAAACTTCGCTATGACAGTGGAATAAAGAAGTTGTAAGCGATAATGTATTGTCTGCTTTATCAGAACGTTTTGTTTTTGTGCAGTTTTTAAACATGTAAAGTGATATGAATGTATTTATAAATGCGTTTCTAAATATTTTCAGCTATTTTGACATAACAATGTATATTCTAATCCCCATCCTCTATGATTGTCAGGCCCTGGTCTGGCTTTCATCGCCTATCCTAAGGCTGTGGCTCAGATGCCTGCGGCTCCTGTGTGGTCCATCCTGTTCTTCCTCATGATCATCCTGCTCGGTCTCGACAGCCAGGTATGTGTCCACCATCCTTTTGGCTCGTATGTTATAGTGAGTGAGTGAGTGAGTATGGTTTTACGCCGCTTTTAGCAATATTCCAGCACTATCACGGCGGGGGACACCAGAAATGGGCTTCACACATTGTACCCATGTCGGGAATCGAACCCGGGTATTCGGCGTGACGAGCGAACGCTTTTAACCACTAGGCTACCCGACCGCCCCTCGTATGTTATAAGCAACATTCCGATAATAATAATAATAATAATGATAATGATAATGATAATAATAATAATTATAATAACAACGTGGATTTTTGTTTTTACTTCCATCCATAAGCATGCTCAAAGTGTTTACATTATTACCTCGGTCTTTTGGATCAGTGTGGGCTCATTTTTCACTCTCAGCTCCCTGGGAAGTGTACAACCCAAGCTGGTTAGTGAGGCGCTGGAAGGGTTAGTCATATCTCATCCTACCGGGTACCCATATACTGATGTGCGAACAGAGGCATATTTCGAACAAATCCACTTGCCAAAGGAGACATCACATGTGCTATATGTGCTTCTATATGAGACAGGACTGAAGCCCAAGCAACTCTGAGTCATATTTTGTTTCTGGAGGTGTGATTGTGTTCTGTTTGTTTCTGTTTCTAGTTCGTGGGCGTGGAGGGTGTGATCACGGCGGTGGTCGACCAGTATCCCAAATACCTGAGAAAGGGGTACCGAAAAGAGATTTTCATCGGCATAGTGTGTTTCCTCTCCTTCCTTATTGGTCTCTCCATGGTCACAAACGTAAGTAAAATGTTTCTATGTCTATCAACATGCCCCACCTTAAATCATGTGAGACCCAATCCTCGAGAAGACCCATCCCATACTATAACCCGACCTTACACATCCCTATCCAGTGGTAGAACCCTTTCCCACACAGCCCCGTCCCATGTTGGAACCCATCCCCATACAGCCCCATCCCATGTTAAAACCCATCCCATCACGTCCCCATCCCATGTTAAAACCCATCCCATCACGTCCCCATCCCATGTTAAAACCCATCCCCCATACAGCACCATTCAATGTTACAACTCGTCCCCTAACAGCCGCATCCAATGTTAAAACTCATCCCCCACACAGCCCCATCCAGTGTTAAAACTCATCCCCATACAGATTCACACCACGTTAAAACTCATCCCCACACAGCCCTAAGCAATGTTAGAACCCATCCCCATACAGACTCACCCCATGTTGAAAACCAACCACCACACAGCCCCATCCCATGTTAAAACTCATCCCCATACAGATTCACACCATCCCATGTTAAAACTCATCCCCACACAGCCCCATCCAATGTTAAAACCCATCCCCCATACAGCACCATCCAATGTTAAAACTCATCCCCACACAGCCCTAAGCAATGTTAGAACCCATCCCCATACAGACTCACCCCATGTTGAAAACCAACCACCACACAGCCCCATCCCATGTTAAAACTCATCCCCATACAGATTCACACCATCCCATGTTAAAACTCATCCCCACACAGCCCCATCCAATGTTAAAACCCATCCCCCATACAGCACCATCCAATGTTAAAACTCATCCCCACACAGCCCTAAGCAATGTTAGAACCCATCCCCATACAGACTCACCCCATGTTGAAAACCAACCACCACACAGCCCCATCCCATGTTAAAACTCATCCCCATACAGATTCACACCATCCCATGTTAAAACTCATCCCCACACAGCCCCATCCAATGTTAAAACCCATCCCCCATACAGCACCATCCAATGTTAAAACTCATCCCCACACAGCCCTAAGCAATGTTAGAACCCATCCCCATACAGACTCACCCCATGTTGAAAACCAACCACCACACAGCCCCATCCCATGTTAAAACTCATCCCCATACAGATTCACACCATCCCATGTTAAAACTCATCCCCACACAGCCCCATCCAATGTTAAAACCCATCCCCCATACAGCACCATCCAATGTTAAAACTCATCCCCACACAGCCCTAAGCAATGTTAGAACCCATCCCCATACAGACTCACCCCATGTTGAAAACCAACCACCACACAGCCCCATCCCATGTTAAAACTCATCCCCATACAGATTCACACCATCCCATGTTAAAACTCATCCCCACACAGCCCCATCCAATGTTAAAACCCATCCCCCATACAGCACCATCCAATGTTAAAACTCATCCCCACACAGCCCTAAGCAATGTTAGAACCCATCCCCATACAGACTCACCCCATGTTGAAAACCAACCACCACACAGCCCCATCCAATGCTAAAACCCATCCCATGAGTTCGCATCTTACGCCATTTGGAACAAGGTGAGAAGTGACCCTTTGTGTTGAATGTTTCAGGGAGGGATGTACGTGTTCCAGCTGTTCGACTATTACTCAGGTAGTCGTATCATCCTGCTGGTAGCTTTCTTCGAGCTAATCGCCATCGGATATATCTACGGTGAGTAGCAAGAACGTACAGAGATCCACTCCAACTATTGGAGCGAGTGAATTTGATGTCATATTGAACAGTATATCACTTATGCCACGATGTGTCAGCTTGATATAGGAGCATCCGTGAAGATCCGGGTTAGATTAAACCTTCAGCAACCCATGCTTGCCGTAAGAGGCGACTAACGGGATCGGGTGGTCAGGCGCGCTGACTTGGTGGATGCACGTCATCGTATCTAAATTGCGTGAATCGATGCTCAGGATATGAATCACTGAATTGTCTGGCCCATATTCGATTATTAACAGACCTCCGTCATATAGCTGGAACATTGCTAGTGCGGCGTTAAACAACAAACAAATAACCAACAAATCTGGAAAGAACGTCTGAGACAGCCGGAATCAGAACCAACGATAATACGTTTCTCGCATGCTTCGAGGGATGCAACGTTGTACATACTGCAGCGTCTGGGTCACCCATGTTTCCACTCGCTGACATGGAGGTAAGGAGAGTTAATACTTGTAAATTGTAAACCTTCACTTACTCTATCACCTGGTGTTGGCAGGCGTCAATCGCTTCCTGGCCAACATTGAGATGATGCTTGGCTGGAACATCCTCCCCTTCATGAAGGTCTGCTGGCTGGTCTTCTCGCCCATCTTCTGCATTGTGAGTCCTCAGATTACAATGTTCAATACTATGCTCAATGTTTGTTCAATGCTATGTTCAATTCTATGCTCAATGCTGTGTTCACTACCTTGCTCAATGTTTGTTCAATTCAATAATATGTTCAATGCTTTGCTCAGCGTCAAGTTCAATACACTGCTCAATGATTTTTCAATGTAATGCTCAGTATTAGGTTCAATACTATGCTCAATAATCTATGAACTATACTATGTTCAGTTCTATGCTCTATACTACGCTCAGTGTTTGTTCAATTCTATGTACAGTGATATGTAGAGACTATGCTCAATTCTATCTTAAATACTATGCTCAATGATATCTTCCATTATGTGCGCAATGCTATGCTCAACATTATGCTCAACTCGATGCAATTGTTAATACTTCGTTCAGTGCCACTATAGATAACATGCCCCCATGCTAAAACCAGTGCCGTTATGAATACTGTAATAAACCCAGTGTTCACGAATATATGCTCAGTACTAAGCCAGGCACTATGCTTAATACCCTGATTTATCCTATTTTGCGAAATAATGTTCAACAACGTGTTCAACAGCATGTCTAAGATTTTACCTTATTCAAGCCTGGCTCAGTACTCTTTATTTAATTGTGGAGGGAAACCTCGATCGTTTCTAATGAGTAAGTTGGGTTTAACACCGCTTTGAACACTACTCCAGTTTCGCTCACGGTGTGTCGGCTTGAGGTGGGAGGAAAGCCAGAAGTGATTCATGTTTCAGACGTATACCACTTTGGCGAAACCAACGAGCCAGTTCGTTTGCTAACGAACCTAGAAACATAATCCGGGCGAACTGGGATTCGAACCCACAATCATAGGTTTCTGGTGTGACCAAGGGAAGCAACGCTGCCCAGCGACTTATAGCGCCTTAGACGACTGCCCCCCCCCCCCCCTATTTTTGACAATGCTTATTTGAACCATGTCGTGTTGCAGTCCATCTTCGTGATGAGTGCCATCAACTACTCGGAGCTGACATACGAGAGGCCTTCGGGGGTGTACGTCTACCCCAACTGGGCGGTGGCCATCGGCTGGACAATGGCCTGTCTCTCTATCGTCTGGGTGCCCATCATTGCCGTCTACAAGTACATCAAGTGCCGCGTACGTTATAGAGCACAACTGGTCTTTAAATGTTCATAGTCTTGTACAATACTTAAGATTTCTACATGTTAAGGGCACATTGAATGCAGGACGTTTACTGTAGACAAGTACCTGGTATCACTGACACCCCTGACTCAACAGATGAGTGAGTGAGTTGGGTTTAACGCCGCTTTTAACAGTATTCCAGTTATATCGCGGCGTGTCAGCTTAATGTGGGAGGTAAGCCCGAAGTGATGCAGGTCTCTGACGTTTACCACTTCGGTGAAACCAACGAGCACGAGTATTGGGCTGACAAACCTAGAAACATAATCGGAGCGAACCGGGATTCGAACCCACAATCATAGGATCCCGGCGTGCCCAAGAGACGCAACTCTGCAGAACAAATCGAGGCGCCTTAGACGACTGGGCCACCCGTGCCCCCCTCAACAGATGACGTGTAGGGACTTCAGTCAACATCGTTTGTATTTCAGACGTAACGCGTTGTTCATTCAGGGCAACTAAACATCGGTACAATGCATTGTTTTAAGTTTTATCACAGCTTGATGTAACCTATGCAAAACTTTAAAACTTGTGTCACAGTGTCAGGTAAACAGTCACCGCATTTAGAACACGTCTCACAATATTTTTTTCACAGGACTTGATGGTGTTGTTACGTCCGACGGGTTTGAAGCAGCATCAGATGCGGCCTTGCGACTACGGCCAATTGACCTACGACGATGTCTTGAAACAGCGGCAAGGACTGCCCGTTAGCATACCCCAGTACGTGGCCCCGGCGACAAACATGGACTCGCCCCCACCCGCGTACGTGAACCCAGGTTACGAGAAGGACAAGGAGTCCTACTTCACTCAATTATAAATAACCCTTTTTGACATTTCGGGATATAGTTTATGTTTTAACGTTTCTAAGATGTTGCTCAACCGTAGCGTAAGTTTGTTCTTCATTTATTTTGTGGAATCCGTGTTTTGTGTTTTATAAATGTGAAGCAATTTTTTTACAACTATTTTATGTTAATTCAGCCAAAGTAACCTAGTGTCTCATAATGTATGTGGCAATATTTTTTACTCTCAGTATAATTTTCCCTGGTTCAACTGAGGTGTGTATACGAAGTTGCCTTATCAGCAATTGTTGACTTTTTAAAATACAAGTAACGGGAATATTTTACATTTCAGAATACCCTTTCAACTTTATTTATATTCATGAGTTGTAAAATGTAATACAGTATTTTAATATATTTGAAATTGTTTATTTTAACTGGAACTGAAATATTCTCCAATGTTTTGCCTTCATTCAAAGTCAAACTAAAATTGCACTTAAAAAAACAGTTGTGAGAATTCGTAAAAATGTTAATGCATGATTAAACGTTGGTTGGTTTCAATTAATAGATGGGGAATGTTTTCACAAAAATACTCAAAGAATATCAATGCTCCCATGATCGATCATCGTCAGGACTGATGTCAGAAAATATGTGTTGTCGATACTAAATAGGTACTAGTAACTATGGCACAGACCTCATAACGCTTGGTTAAATGTGTGGTAACGGCAGGTAAAATCAAAGTGTCAAAAACATATGAACTAGTGACAGAACTATCTTTTGGTCTCTCATTTCTTGCGAACCATTTTCACCGATCTCTGTTCAAATCGGTCGCCACTAACCCTTTAAAAAACATCACAGTGTTGCACGAATCAACTAAATTCGTTACTCATCCATATAGCCAAGTTGTCTTAGAATGTCTTTATGTAGGCTTTAGACGAGTTAACCTGTGTTAAGGGTATGTGCGTTTATGTAGTGTTTGATTGTTTTACGTGTTTGTCGGGAACATTGTTCGATCTGATTACTCCATCCGTTCTAATGAGTCGTCGCGTTATTGGAAAATAATATGAATAAAAAGATAGCTGCACGAGTTGTACCGTTTAAAATGCAACAGATCTGAACAATTATACACCTGGGAAATGGTTAAGCATCGCTTCCTGTATATTTCTATGTGAGTGAGTGAGTATGGTTTGACGCCGCTTTTAGCAATATTCCAGCAATATCAAGGCGGGGGACACCGGAAATGGGCTTTTCACATTGTACCCATGTCGGGTATCGAACCCGGGTCCTCGGCGTGACGAGCGAACGCTTTAACTACGAGGCTACCCGACCATGTAAAATAGCCATTTATGAAAATCGTATCTTGTAATAATGTTAGAACGAAAACGTTTGTTTTTGTTTTCGAGGGACACATTTGAAATGACAAACAGATAACCAAAATCGATTATTCAATTACATAATTTGCATCTGTACTATCGAATAATGATTTTAACTACTCGTTATTTCTACGACTCCTTCCCATCATATGGTATGACCCCATGTGACCATCTGAAGAAACGTACAGTGTTATTTACCAACTTGTCAGCAGGTATTGGTTGTAACTTTTCCATGTATATATAACGACATCTACAGTGACATTAATAACTGAGTGCAAAAATATTATAATATTACCCATAATGATACGGATATAAGTGAAATATTTTCAGTAATTCTTACTGAGCATCATGACAATTGTTCCATTTTTTTCATTAAATGCGAAGATGCCCATTGCAAAGTGACGTCATTGTCACGAATAATTAAAGAATACGTCATCCATTGTTCGTGACGTCATGATGATATATGCGACGTCGTTTCAATAATAGAATAATTGAGCTGAAGTCGACATTTGTGATCAGAAAACCCACTTTTTCTAATTGTCTCAGAAAAAGACGATGGGTTATACAAAGAACAACCAACGGGGAACGAGGAATTGGGGTCTTCTGTCCATCACGCATGAATGCATGTTGAAAGTCCCTCGCTAATTTTACATCGGACAGACACTCCTTATTTCTCAATGCTCATAGATTGTTTTTTTAAGTAATACCCATGCCCAAATTACTTATTCTTGTATGCTGTGATTTATCATTACTTTTTAGATGTACTAACTTTACTATAATTACTCAGATTTTAGATGGCAAAGCAATGACTTAATGATAGTCAGTAGATTAGAGCATTTATTGTGTTATTAGAACAGGTTTTTTAAAATTTTGTATAGCCCATGCAAATTATATTGAGAACATATTTGTATTTACATCTACATCATAATCTGAAATATGAATAAAGAATTTTATATTTTTCATTCTTGTTTTGTGGTTTAGTTAATTATGTAGCCACAACAGTGTATATATGTGTAATTAACTCTACCCGTGTGCAACACGAAGACATCATACAAAAACAGTAAAGTTGGAGAACACTTGTCTTTCTCAACAAAAAAAAAACTGTTCAGTTCTGTCAACACATTTGATTTCTCAACTATTTACACTACTGTACACCGCTATGTATAACTTCCTCATTTAAACATCAATGTACACATTTTGGGAAAGATATTTAGGCAAGAAGTAGGCACCACAGGGACACCATTTGTTTGTTTGTACTTTTTCTTGAATCAGGGATATGCACACGGATATCCTTAAGATTTTAACGTTGCTAAATAAATACAAAAAGGCGACTATGCTTGTCGTAAGAGGCGACTAACGGGATCGGGTGGTCAGGCTCGCTGACTTGGTTGATGCATATCATCGATCCCAATTGCGTTGATCGATGCTCATGATATTAATCACTGGATTGTCTGGTCCAGACTCGATTATTTACAGACCGCCGTCATAAAGCTCGACTATTGCTGAGTGCGGCGTTAAACAACAAACCAACCAACCAAGGGATTTTAACGCAACGATTACCAGTGCCGTTTCGAAAGGAAATGGATATAACGAGGTCAACAAACCAAGTTCCACGCCTTAAAAGACGAATATAACAATGTTCACTGAAGATACCATACACTCCTCTCAATCAACACATTTAGTTTAATAATGAGACATACAAGTATGTGAAAAAGAGCCGTACTTTGGAGGCTCTAGAAATCGTGATATGTTTTATTCCGAACCAAAATCCTTTCTGAAATCCAATCTAACCACATTTCGTGTTTGTTGGTCGTGTCTACCTTGCTGTGTAGTGTCCACGTGCTGGCATGGATCGCCGTGGAAGCCTCACTGCCTCGATTGTTAGCTCTGCCAAAGATTGGATGGAAGTGGGATGCAGATTGCCTGCTGGAACTGCGTTGCAGAATCGTTCCCACTGCCATTTTGTCAAAACATCAGCGACGATATTGCCATTTATTACTTGCCCGTGAAGAGATCACCCGTTTAATAAACATACAGCTGTATTACACATTGTGTAATACCAAAACGCGTGCTTATGTACCCTCGGAACACGTTTCATGAACAAATATTGAAAGCTCTCAACATCCCTTGGCTTAGTCAACGACATTGCGTGTGGAGTTGATAGATCACTGAGACGAGCTTATGCACACTAGATGACCCCCAGCAACCTTGTTGCTAGGCTGACGTCACATGGCATTGTTTCGCCGATGGATCTTGCAACAAAATTCCGCAAATTACGTCATCGGGTATTGTGACGTTATTGTAAACTTTGAGATGCAAGGCCCGTTCCACAAGGCGATCGTATTGTAGCGCAACGACAGTCGTTAGTCTAAGTTAAAGTATGTGAGTTGCGATAGTCTTAGCCCTACGATAATTTTGTGAATTCTAAAGGTGGACCGTTGTATGGTATTAAATTCATACGTTTCAACTTTTGACGTGTTTGAAGTATTATTCAGTTAAACTCAAATGGACTATGCCGTAGGATGGTGTAGGTGTCAGCCTATTCATACTCAACAGTATAATTAAAAAAGGTTATAAATGGCAAGTAATAAATAAAATACTAAACTCGCTCCCGTGTAAAACCAATTTATGAAACTCGTGAATAGTTGTGGTATCTGACGAGCGAAAGCTCGTTTAGTATTCTATATATATATATCTCGTCTTGAACAAAATGATGTTTTTGAGGCATTGAAGCACAAGGTGCCTGATCAGTGACATAATTCTGGGTGCCTTTGAAGACTGTTTATTGATGATTTACTCTACAGCTTGGTTATCATAAGAGGAAAGTACTTTCCTGCTGGCAGGATATTGCTGAGTAGGGTGGGCATAGTTTGCATCCACAGAACAGGCGACACCACGTGTTTGGGCTCTTTCGATGTGGGCTCTCGGACCAACTCGCGGGACAGCATTTGTATCACATATCCGCATAACCTGCTCCAAGTAGAAAGGAGAGGATATTTGCACGTTTTGCAATTGGGGTCTGTTTAATGAAGGTCTAGCTGATCTCAATGACTTAGCAATCGCCGATGCCCATGGCGGGACTGTTGGCTCCGTCCTTGGAGTCTTCCCATTCCTGACGAGGCGGTGATGTACGACAATACGTCTTTTGGGTAGCATTATTAATAAGAAATGCAAGCTCCTTGCAACGAACGGAAGATGAATGCAAGGATATTAAATACGTGTTGTGTCGGTTAAAGCTTGTGGGCGAGTGCCGCTTGAGCCGATGCCACGCCATAAGATGACATGGTAAATATAAACAAACTCTCTTAGACCGGAAGTGCCCAGATAGGATCGAGGCCAGAGACGATGGCGCCATGCAAACCAGCATGTAGACGCCCAAGATGAAGGTAATTAGCATAATAATAATAATAATAATAATAATAATAATAATGTAATCATAATAACAACAGTGAAAAACCTGACATAAACGTAATTATTATTTCTGAGCACTATAGCAAATCAGATTGCTGGCTTTTTCTCAGGTAAGAAATCACACTAAAAGCTTCGAAGATGCGGTTCCATTGAAATGGAAATGGTTTTGCCGCTTGTATTACATTTATTTCTCATTATGTAGCTAAATATAGTGGCTTGACATGAGTGTATAGTTTTATAGGAGTATTTAAGAGAACACTGTTGAATTCGTCCTCGAACTTCTTTCCTTGTATCTAGTACTATGACACTTGCAATGGTCACACATCTTGCAGCTGTTAATTGTTGTTCTACAATGCCCCGTGGGGGCGCTCGGGTAGCCTAGTGGTTAAAGCGTTCGCTCGTCACGCCGAAGACCTGGGTTCGATATGTGAAGCCCATTTCTGGTGTCCCCCGCCGTAATATTGCTGGATTATTGCTAAAAGCGGCGTAAAACTCACTCACTACAATATCCTGTGTCTGTAATCCAGATATGAGCAGAAACGTGAGAAACCGCGTCCCACGCTCTCGGTATATAACAAACAATGAACCAAATCACGATTTCTGAACCTGACCAACCGATCTAGTTAGTCGCCTCTTTAAGACAAACACCAAATTCCTGTGTCGTGAATTTGATTGAAGCGATAAAGTGTGTGTGTGTTTGTTTGTTTGTTTGTGTGTGTCTGTGTGTGTGTGTGTGTGTTTGTTTGTTTGTTTGTTTGTTTGTGTGTGTCTGTGTGTGTGTGTCACTGCGGGCTTGTCTCCCACATTAAGCTGACACGCCGTGATATAAGTGGTATACTGTTAAAAGCGGCGTTAAACCAAACTCACTCACTCCTTCACTCGTTGGTCGTGGGTTCGAATCAATACCTTCATCACTACTCTGGGCATTCATGGCTTTAAACAACTTCGCTCACTTGTTTGAATCGTGGCTGTCATGTCTTTGGCGATGTTTCCTTTAATGAGACAGCGAGGATCAAAGTACCTCAGTAACCAACGTTTTCATTAATATTAACAAGTTTACCTGACTATGTCAACGAATCAACTACGTCAACTTCAAATTTACACTCACAAATGTACTGCAGTACTTATATGATTAATTGATAATCATGAAAGAGCTAATCGAAATCTGTTTCGATACTTAAGTCTCGCACCGCATCACCAAGTAGGGATAACATGAACTTGACAACACTGGTTATAAACAAAGCATCCAACTCGGTTTCTTGAGATTTTCTTAATTATTAATAGATTATAATGGACAGTTAACAGACTAGAACAAGACGACTCAAGTACAATTGTAGCGAATTAGGAACACATACTTACATTGTTAGACAGATGTTAAGTGTAGCATTCGGTAGGAGATGGTAAACTATTTAAAACATCAGTGTTTGAAACTGGTGGGCTGGCTTTAGTGGTTTACCAGTAGATATCAAGGATGCTGACTGGCATCACTGGCATCCATTCATCCATTTAGTTTCGTAAATAAAAATGAATTGATTATCTATCTATACAAGTGAACGGGATACTTATATTAATATTGTGGGTAATTTGTAAAACTACCATGAGAGCTCAGCTGCTGTGTCTGACGTGTCGAGAGGACAATAGAAGCGGCTGTGAAAAGAAAAACTATTACAATACAAATAAATGTTCATTTAAAAGACAGTTTTCGACCAACTTTTCACAGACAATTCGCACCAAGAAAGTCCAACATTTCACGTGTCCACTTCAGTTTCATATTTTGACCCAGCCATTGAAACCATTGCCTCAGGACAAAACATGGATACAAGGTCAAAAACTTCGGCTTGTGGGTTTAACATCTGGCGATGCAGTGTCAATCCTGACTCCATAGTGAATTTACAGACCCCAACGCCATTTGGCCTTCTGTATTTCAGATGGCATCGTCGCGTGGCAACGGGAAATTTTGGTGGCTTTAAAAATGGTAAGTCATTTGGACAACATGACCTGTGTTAATTCAAACCTCGGTTCTTTTTGTAAAAGCAGTGAATATATTTTAATGACTGAGGTACATGTGCCATATGCACATTCAGATCTTTGCAACCTGAAATTACATATATTTCTATAATCTTTGATCCCTAAACATTAACTTGCATCACAATCCCATTAGAATGATAAAATTGTTATATCTATTTAATTTTTCATCTGTAACAGGTCAGGCGGTGAATTACCCATCAAACACAGACACACCAGACATTGCAACATCAAAGTTCTCAGCCTCTGAATCTGTTGCTGCAATGGCATCCACAGTGACATCTGCAGCACCTGTTTTTGTTTCAACAATGACTTTAACTAAAACTACACAATATCCTGGAATCACTTCCTCCCCAGTGAACACTCACGGAACTGGCTATACCATGAACTCAACATCAAATCCTCCAAATACTTCTCTTCCCTCCTCCGCTCCTGCTACAGCATCCACATCCCCTGTCACAACATCCACGACCACTACTGCATCATCTACATTCACTTCCTCCACGACTACAAATACGAGGGAAAC